GGAGTATCAAATACAAAAGTAAATGAATCACCAAAAATCACACTACATTTGAGAAAAATTAAGGCCATGAAAGAGAAACACCATTCCTAACAAAACACTGTAGAAAGCGAAGAAAATGTAACATAAGACTTCATTCTTAGTAAAACTGCTCCCTCCCTGAGAGACTATTGTTTTATGTAGCCCTTGACACTCTTTTAAAGAAGTGATTAGGTATCTTAGAAATATAAAAATATTGTCAAAATAAACAATAAAATAGAAGTTCTAATTAGTGTGCTGGAAAACTGACTCAAGGGTTTATCCCAAAGTGTACTGTAAAAAGACAAAGAAGTTTTTTCTTTTTAAAACACAACATGATTATATTTTAATACACAATCAAAACACGAAACACTATAGTAAATTGATAGCAATAATAAAGGGCTTTTCATTTGCATTGCATGTAACAAAAGACATTGATATTCCAAGGGAAATGGAAAACAAAAAGGCAAAGAAGTTAACAGTATAAAGAGAAAATTTTTGATATGTGGAGAATCTAGAAATTCCAACATATAACAAAAAATGAGTTCTAGAAAAGAACAGAGACTAATAAAGAGAAAACCTAAAAATATACAGAAAGAAACCAAACTCAGAAATAGATTGCCTGAGAAAAGGACTGAAAATTAGACGGTCATCAGACTTCTCAACTCGATACTAAAACACATTAGAACTTTACCTTCAAAGTTGTAATGGAAACTTGATTCTAAACAAAGAATCCTATATCCATTCAAACTAGCATTCAGGAGCAAAACAGAGATGGAAAAGCAAGGACCCAAATTTTACCATGTATAGCCAGTTTCTGAAAGAGAAACTGGGGACTCCAACAAAATCAAAAAGGAATCTAAAAGGTGGACATGATGTATAAAACATAGTGAGGAAAGGAACCAACAAAACTTAAGGATGAATAATTTTTTGATACATAATGTAAAATAAGGTATTCTGGAGTAAAAATCTTAGTGATTTCTTTCTATATGGGAAGTGGTGGCAGGGAGGGTGTGTGTGTGTGTTTGAGTGAGCAAAGGCACATGTGCGCAGGCTAACGCACTTTACAAGGATGGAAACAGAGTAACTCACTCTAGATTTGAGCTGTCCAGTAGCCACTAACCACTGTGACTACTAAAACAGAATTAAAAGTTCAGTTCCTGTTTCACACTAGCAACATTTCAAGTGCTCAGTAGCTAGTGGCTACCATATTGTACAGCACAGAAACAGAACTTTTGGCACTGCAGGAAGTTCTACTGGACAGCACTGCTCTGTATGTTGAAAAAAATGTTTTAAATGGTTATTACAGTTTTAAGGGTAACCATCAGAAGAAAAGACACAAACGTGTAATTTTCGAATGATACTGGAAGGAAAAAAATTACATAAAGAAAACCAACTGATCCAATAAAAAGCTAAAAAGGAAGAAAATAAAACATTAGTACAACTAAAATAAAACATTAGTACAACTAAAATAAAAAATAAGGCTACAGGATTATGTCTAAACATATGGTAATCACAGATATGAATGGGTTAAATTCACCTATTAAAAGATATAAACTCTTAGATTAGAAAAAGAAAATCTGACATAAGAGATATAGCTAAAACAAAAGGACAGAGAAAGAATTAAAATAAAGATATTACAGGCAAATGCTAACAAAAACAAACCTTGCCACCTGGCTGTAGCTTTCAAAACAAAAAAATGCACCATACCCTTTAATTTAGTAATTTCATTCCTAGATATCTGTATCTAGGAATACTTGCACATGTGGAAAATTCAAGGATCTCTACTGCAGCACTGTTTTTTTAAAAGAAATATAAATTTATATAACATTTTTAACCTATCCAATTGGTTTTTTTTTTTAACATCTTTATTGGAGTATAATTGCTTTACAGTGGTGTGTTAGTTTCTGCTTTATAACAAAGTGAATCAGCTATACGTATACATATATCCCCATATCTCCTCCCTCTTACGTCTTCCTCCCACCCTCCCTATCCCACCCCTCTAGGTGGTCACAAAGCACCGAGCCGATCTCCCTGTGCTATGCGGCTGCTTCCCACTAGCTATCTATTTTACATTTGGTAGTATATATAAGTCCATGCCAATCTCTCACTTCTTCCCAGCTTACCCTTCCCCCTCCCCGTGTCCTCAAGTCCATTCTCTACGTCTGCATCTTTATTCCCGTCCTGCCCCTAGGTTCTTCAGAACCATTTTTTATTTTTTTAGATTCCATATATATGTGTTAGCATATGGTATTTATTTTTCTTTCCGACTTACTTCACTGTGTATGACAGTCTCTAGGTCCATCCACCTCAGTACAAATAACTCCATTTCATTTCTTTTTATGGCTGAGTAATATTCCATTGTACATATGTGCCACATCTTTATCCATTCGTCTGTCAATGGACACTTAGGTTGCTTCCATGTCCTGGCTATTGTAAATAGAGCTGCAATGAACATTGTGGTACATGATTCTTTTTGAATTATGGTTTTCTTAGGGTATATGCCCAGTAGTGGGATTGTGGAGCACTGTTCTTAATAGCAGAAGACTCTGGAAATGATTTATATATTTCATCAATAGAAAGCCAGTTGAATCAATTATGGTTAATCTGTACAAGAGACAAGTACGCAGCTGTGAAAAAGAATGAGGGAGTTCTCTGTGCATTGATAAGAGACCACCTCTAACATGTACTAAATAATTAAAAAAACAGGGTACAGAATGGTAACATGCCACTATTTGTGTAAACAAGGGAAAAGTATGTCTACCTATGTCTGCATAGGCACAGAATGTATTTCATATGAAACATAAAATGAAAGAATATAAACAATTATAGCGTCTATCTCTGGGAGAGAAAATGGGAAGCTAGGGGATAGTGTTGAAGAAAACCATTTATATATTATTCTTATAATTGAATTTTATATTGTATGCATGCAATTTTCTATTTAAAAAATATAGGTACAAAAAGCAGGTGTGGAAATATTTAATAGCAGACAAAATAGAATTCAATATGAAAAGCATGAGACAAAGGCAATTTTCAAAAACTGATGAAAGAACATTCCCCTATAAATCATGAATCTATGCATCTAACAATACCTTCAAAATGTATAAAACAAGTACTATGAGAAATGCAATTAAAGACTGATAAATCCACAATTACAGAGAGACACTTCAACGTACTTCTAGAAAGTGGTAAATGAAGTAGACAAAAATAATAGTTAACACTTACTGGGCACTTCTTATGTGAGTGGCACTGAACTATGCTTTTTCATGCATTATCTAAGGCTATAGAAAATGTTAGTAGTAATTTGACAAGTCATATACATATACCATATACATGTACCATAAACACCTTTGTACCTGATAAACACAGAATAAACATTTTTTTCAGACATTCATTAGATATTCACTAAACACCACACATTACGCACCTGCACCAAACAACCACCAGTACCACTGAGGTCAACATGGCTGGCAAGACTACAATGAAATGAATGCTATCACTGATTTGGCAACAGCTTTTATGAAGACAAATTTGGCATTATGTATCAAGTATCCATACTCCTTGACATAATAATTGTCTTTCTGATATTTATATCTTAAATAAATAATCCAAATATGGGGGAAGCATATTAGAAACTTGAATGTCAAAATGAAAGGGAATGATTAAGTATCGTATAGCTATTCATTAGAATATTATTCTGCCATTAAAATGACATTTAATATAACAAGATGCTTAAAATGTTAAAGGAAAACAAGAAAAGTACATTAAATTATGTATATTTTATACAGCTGTTAAAATTAACCCCTATCTTCTTTAATGGGCATATTTTAACTTTCACTTCAGGCAGCATTTTGCTTTGCATCCGTTTCTGCAATTTTCTGTTCATAATTAGCATCTGTTAATGTTACACCAACCTACACATTATTCTACAGAAGAGAACAGAGAAGTCCCAGTTCACCAGAGGTGCTCGGAGTCCATGGCCATGATGGCTGCTTTTCTGCCAGTTAAATATAGCATAAAGGGACTTTCTTTAGGCAAGTTAAATATCCATTAACTTAGACACGGACATTTAGTGGAGTCAAATTTGGCCTCTACATCAGCTCTGGCCAAGATGTAGCAGAGAACTGTGCATGCAGCAGTCACTCCCAGACAAGGTGAAACCCTGAATTTGTAGTTTCTATCGGTAGTTAAATAAACTATTCTTACCTACTTATTAATACTTAAAAGTTGGTAGTTGTTTTAAGGGTTAAAATAGAAGCAAGTTTTCTGGGGAAATAATTCCTTATTTGATACTCTTAGAATCAAACATTTATGTGAATATTCTTTTTTAAAAAAATAGGTCCAAAAGACTCAGCCCAGATCAGCACTGAAGTTATATCAAGAATTAAGTCTGCTTCATGCCAATGAGCTGCTCCTCAGCAGGGGCTGGTTTTGCTACTTGAGGAATGACAACCACTCTGTTGTGTACACAAGAGAGCTGGACGGCATAGACAGAGTCTTCCTCATGGTTCTGAATTTTGGAGAATTATCACTGCTAAATCTAAAGGAAATGATTTCAGATATTCCCACAAGAGTAAGGATAAGGTTAAGTACCAATTCTGCCTATGAAGGCCGTGAAGTTGATACGCATGCCATTACACTGGACAAAGGAGAAGGACTCATCCTTGAATACAACACGAGGAATCTCCTTCATCACCAAACAGCATTCCAAGATAGATGTTTTGTTTCCGACCGGGCATGCTATTCCAGTGTACTGAACATACTGTACAGCTTGTGTTAGGCACCTCTGTGAAAGAGATGGCGACGCTGGCATTCTGTCCTATTGTAAGCATTTGCAGTAACTTCACGTACAGCAGCATGCTGCTGGGTGAACTTTATGATGGGTAATTAATTCTTAGATATTTCTGTAGCTTGAATGAAACTGCTTTAGGATAGGTTCTCAAATGTTTTTCAAGAATAATAAAGTGTTTAAAAGAAAATTATCCCTTGCAGGAACTTGTAATTTTTTTGAGTTAGCATCAATAAGAGATGATCAGAGCACCTTAGGACTCCAGAATATTAGAGAGATCTAATGAATTTTAATGTGAGGAATATCATCTTCTTCCATAAAATGCAGGTACAGAAACTGGAGGATGACTTAACTGCTAGAGTATCTAAAAATGTTCACTAGCAAAGAAGCAGGACCTTGATTTGTAAACTGTTCAAAGAAAATCAGAGTAAAACAAACCTGTTCTGATGCGGGAAAGGGGAAAGTTCTGCTGTCACCAATCCTTCCTTCACTCCCTTCTCTATGTCCTTCTACAGAGCATGGTTTGAAAACTACTTTCCTAGGTTAAGGGGCGTGTGCATCAATGGAGACAACGGTATAAGCAAGTGAGCTGTATACAAAACAAAATCTGGACAGAGAAGCAAATTTTAAAAATTATTTACTAACTTAAAAAACTCACTTTTGTTAATGTAACTGGAAATATGACTATGAAATATTTCAGTGTGTTTCCAATTTCCACTGAATGCAGCATTTCAGAATTTTAGATATTTCTTAAGATTCTCGAAAACACTGGTGCTGTCAAGTCCAAGTTCCTCATACAGGAATTTAATTTGGGCTGTAATCTAAAAGAAACACATTTAAAAAATTAGATAGAAGGCCTTTGTGGTACAACTCCAGTGTTCAAGTCTCTCCTTGTCCATCCATCTTCACCTAACCTGAAGTCAGCAATTTATGGCAAAGGTACTTTTTATTTGGCAGAGGCAGAAGGCTCCCAACAACTGAGATTCAACTACTTTCTCTGACAGAGCTCCTGTATCAAGTACCTTTTCTCTTTATTGACTCCGAGTTCCTCCTTCCCCCTCAGGTCTCAGCCATAGACCTGACAGTTGGTGAGGCAGCCGGCACAAACCCTGCTGTAACCACTGAAAGGCTGAGCACAACACATCACTAATTGGGGATCTGTCAACTTAAAGGGGCTTGATAGCATACCTTTTTGTGAGAATCCTCAATCACATGATTGCCTCCAGGCTGAATATCTAAAATAATATTGGGGGCTTGATAACCTGAAAGAGTTAACATATGAAACAATTAGAAGGTTTCGGCCAACTGAGACCCACCCATTTCACCCAGCTCCTTCCAAGCACTCTATTAAAATAACAGCGAAGGAGAAAGCCATAAGCCACGACCACCACGACCAACAAAGACAGGAGAGTTGGGGAGAGCAGTAGAAAACAAATTCTTGAAACAGGAGAAGCAGGAGGAGGCCCAGAGGCAGAGGAAGCTGGATGGAAGAGACTACAGGGCTACATGGAGAAGGAAGCCAATCGGTCTTATGGAATCTGAGAGCCTTGTGACCTGGAAACACCAACTATAGCAATGGGTGAAAGTGAGACACAGAAAGTGAGAACTGAATACAGGGCAACTGTCTGGAAACTTGTATGTGAGACCCTCCAACCCTGAGCCCAGAAGGTCCTGGCATGTCTTGGCAAGGAAAAACAGTAAGAGTTCTTGTCTAATAAAACTGAAAGATCTAGAGAAAATTAAAGTTGCTAGTTTGGGCACTGAAGCTCCAGAGCAAAAACGTCAGAATTTGTTTTTAGAGATTCCCAAGAATAACAGCTCAATTAATTTTGTTAAAGAATGAATGATATGATACGGTATGATAGTACACCTCCAAGTCATGTAGATATTTAAATTTACTTTTTTCTTTGTGCGTTGCCTACCTTATTTTAATGCTGTCCTTTGAAAAACAGGCGAGGCAGTTATAGTTATTACATTTGCTTCAAATGGGTAGTTGACACAGGAAAAACTGATTTGTCTAAAATCATGGGTGATTGATTTGGTCTGCAGTACTACTCTGAAGGTGACAGTCCATGTAGCTACGTCCCCTGCTCCCAGGTGGTCTCCTACCTTCCCCGGTGTCCTTAGCATGCTCCACGATGGCTTCCTTGAGTTTCTCAGTATAGTTTACAATTCCTTTCAGAGGCACACGTTCGTCGTTTTCATAAGCTGTGATGTGAATTGAAGGATAATGCTGAAAGAAAAGAGATGTACAAAGAATTTATATTATTCCTTATGGTCCATTTCCACCTTATGGATCATGAAAAACAATTACCTCAAATTTCTTTTTCCCTAAGTGCTAGAACTTTTTTTCTCATTTGATATTCTTGAGAGATATGTGGCATCACAATACTAGACTATTTGTTACCTGGAATAACCTTTTCTTGACTAGTGAGACCTTGATCTTATTGAATCTAGTCTCCTGAGCTATTAAGTTGAAACAAACATGGAGTATGAGCAGAGAAGGGGCTGAAAGGTGAGTATTATAAGGAAAAACAATCTAAGGCCTTACTAAATTCCTGCTTTGGCTCGGGTAAATATCCTTTTCATTATTCTCTCTATCACTTCAGCATAGTATATCATAACTGTCTTTCACTACCTTAGGTTTAATGTTTTGATAGGGACAGTAACGTTTTATGTAGTTCTTGTGTTTTTCATCAGATGAAGGATTCCCCCACTCTTCTAATTCTTCTAATGTCAGAGGAAGTGTAGTGTCCATCATGGTGTTGAGGACATCCAAGAAAGGTGCCTTAAAAAAAAAAAAAGCCAGAGAAATTTAAACTTCAGTTAATAAACTGGTAAAATGAGTTTCAGAAAAATACTATACTTTATGAATATACATGCTGACATCACAGAACAAAGCTCAAGAAGTTATGTACATTCCCAGGAGCCAGATTTATTAGCCAGTCTGTAACCAGGGCCTGTGATTTATAACTGGCTTTTAAGGTATTCAGACTCCTTAAATGACAAAGGATTTATCTTCCAGTTTCCCAATTTTTGCCTTTAGTTTTGTTTCTTTTATTCACATAATAAATGCCACCACCTCACATCCATTAGGCTACTATAAGAAAAAAAGTGTTGGCAAGGATGTGGACAAACTGGAACAATTGTGCACTGCTGGTGGGCATGTAAAATGGTGCAGAGAGTATGTGGGTTTCTTAAAAAATTAAACTTAGAATTATCATATGATCCAGTAATTCTATTCCTAGGTATATATCCAAAAGAAATGAAAGCAGGGTCTTGAAGCGTACACCCCTGTTCACAGCAGTATTTACAATACCCAAAAGGTGGACATAACCCAAGTGTCCACTGATAGATGAATGGATAAGCAAAATATAAATACAATGATACAATGAAATTCAGCTTTACAAAGAAGGAAAATCTGACACCTGCTACAACACAATAGACCTTGAGAACATTATCTAAGTGAAATAAACCAGTTATAAAAAGACATATATAAAAGAAAAAAAAAGACATATAAAACATTGTACGATTCCATTTATACAGGAGGTACCTCAGTGTATCAGATTCATAGAAAACTAGAATGGTGGTTCCCAGGGTCCAGAGGAAGGGGAAATTGGGGAGTTGCTATTTAATGGGTACAGAGTTTCAGTTATGTAAGATGAGGAGTTATGGAAACTGGCTGCACAACAACGTTGAGTGTACTTAACACTACTGAACTGAACACACTAATAAAACTTAAAAATAAGGGCTTTCCTGGTGGCGCAGTGGTTGAGAATGCACCTGCCAATGCAGGGGACATGGGTTCGAGCCCTGGGCCAGGAAGATCCCACATGCTTCTGAGCAACTAAGTCCATGTGCCACAACTACTGAGCCTGCACTCCAGAGCCCATGAGCCACGACTACTGAGCCCACGTGCCACAACTACTGAAGCCCACGTGCCTAGAGCCTGTGCTCCGCAACAAGAGAAGCCACCACGATAAGAAGCCCACCACTGCAAGGAAGAGTGGCCCCCGCTTGCCACAACTAGAGAAGCCTGCGTGCAGCAACGAAGACCCAACGCAGCTAAAAATAAATAAATCAATAAATTAAAATTTAAAAATAAAACCCCAACTACACATGAATAAACTCAGTTGGACATTTTACATTATAAAAAGGTAATAAATGCTAACTGAAGAAAATCTGAAAATTATCCAAGTTGAAAAAGAGTATCACTCATTGGCTTATAACCAGTATTAAAACATTTAATAAAATGGGAGCTGCTTTGTTCATATAGCTATATGATCTTCTGTTAACATGTTTTGCAGCTTTCTCTTTTATTAACATTAAGCAAATATGGGCAAATGCAATTCTTTTTGGCTTCCTAGCATCTTAGCTCCTTTTCTGCATTTGGAATATCCCTAACCTTACGAGACAGCCTGCCTCTCACTGTAGAGGAGCTAAATGCCAGATAGTTCCTTTCCCAGCTTTCCCTCAGAGTGAGAGTAGCCACATGACTTGGGTTTACCAATCAGACATAATGGGCTCCAAACTATGAATGAATTGTGGGATAACTGCGTTACCTCCAATTCTTCACTATTATAAGCAATGTGGGATAAATATTCTTATATATTTCTGATTAATTCCTTTCTGATTTCTTTCTTTCTTAAAAATTTATTTATTTATTTATTTTTGGCTGTGTTGGTTCTTTCTTGCTGCATGCAGGCTATCTCTAGTTGTGGCGAGCGGGGGCTACTCTTCGTTGAGCTGCGCAGGCCTCTTATGGCGGTGGCTTCCTGTTGCAAAGCACGGGCTCTAGGCGCACGGGCTTCAGTAGTTGTGGCACGCAGGCTCAGTAGTTCTGGTGCACAGGCCTAGTTGCTCCGTGGCATGTGGGATCTTCCCGGACCAGGGCTCAAACCCGTGTCCCCTGCACTGGCAGGCGGATTCTTAACCACTGCACCACCAGGGAAGCCCTCCTTTCTGATTTCTGAAAGTCAAAGGTTAGTTGCATTTTCTTTATAATTCTGCCATTATTGTCTTTGTGCATAGAGTTTTTTCCCTTCTATACTTAGTATTTCTATTAAAAAACAGATGTACAGATCAGGAATATTTAACACTTATTTACTTAATACAAGCCCACAGTGTATAGCCCACGCCCTCAAAAAAAAAAAAAAAAAACCTGAAAATAATTGACTCTCCCTCTTAGTCATTATCTTCTAGAATATCTATTGTAGAAGAACAAAATTTGTCACCCCCAGATTATTTCAAGCTGAAAACAATCAAGGCCCAAAAGACTCAGGAAGAAACTCTGATATTCTCCCTAACAGCCTGAAGAATTTAGATAGAGGGTGTATTACAGGAACATCACCAGATAATAAATATGGACTAGCTGTGGTGGGGAAATGCTTAGAGACCAGAGTCCACTCTGTGTCCCATGGTCTCTGCTAACCCAGCAAACGTCTGTTTATCAAACTTTTGCTTTTCCACCTCCATGTGAACTGCCTTCTACCCCTTGAAGTCTTACCCCTAACATCCTCTTTCGTCTTTAGCTGAAGATGGTGTTTAAGGTGAATAACCATGGCCACCATTCTGGTCATTTTGGTGAGTTACTCAGTCTGCTGGGTCTCTTCCATGTATACATGTTATTAAACTTTTGTTTGATTTTTCTCCTGTTAATCTGTCTCATGTCAATTTAATTCTGAGACCAGCCAGAAGAACCTAGAGGGAAGAGGAAAATTTCTTTCTCCCCTACACTAACCAGGAAGCAGGAGAAAGATGGAGGTGAAATGGGCGGCTATAATTTCATAACTTTGGACATCAGGAAAAGACTATAGGGCCTTTTCAGAACAGGAAAAGATATTTCAATTGAAATATAGAAAAATATTCCTAAAGACCATTAGTAAGAATAGAGTATGTGAAAATAGAGAGCCCCTAAATCCAGGACTGAAATGTTGATGGGCAAGAAGAGTCAAAGGATTTCACACATTCCAGAGTCAGTGTGCTTGACCTGACTTCCTGGATCTGGTGTTTCGTATATGCTTTGTCTCTTTTCCACCAACTCTAAATGTTCTTACAAATAAAAAATGATCAGTGGGAATAGCCATTAATATCCTTCAGAGGAAATCCTTAAATATCAATAAAGAACACTGTCAGGGAAGTTCTCCCAGAGCTGTAATTCTGTGCTTAAAATTTAAAAGCTTTGTTATACTCCTATGCTATGGTAAAACTGTAACAGAAAATTTTTCTTAGAGCATCTATTACTTCACGCCTCCCTATTCTGTAAACCGTAGAGGCAGAGTACTTACCTCCAAAGTCACAGCTCTCAGCAGCTCTGGATTAGAATTACACAATGCTCCCACAAGCACCCCTCCAGCACTGAAAGCAGTCAGGGTTGTTAGACTTGGCTGAGAAAAGCCTTGGCCATGAAGTGTCTTAATGCAAGCCTCTAAGTCAGCAAGGCCATTGAGTTTTTTAGTTAGACGGCCATCAGCATGCCACTGGAGGCCTAACTCACCACCTCCCCTGAAATTAAAGGGCAAAAAAGTTTTAGTGGGGAAAAAATGTAAGTGATATATAGGTCAGGGTCAGCAAACTACAGTCTGCGGGTTAAATCTCCCCAGAGGCCTGTTTTTGTATGGCCCTTGAGCTAAGAAGGATTTTTACATTTTTAAAGGTTGGGAAAAACAATATCAACCAGGAATATGCAACAGAGACCATATGTGGCCTGCAAAGCCTAAAATGTTTACTATTTTGTTCTTCAGAGAAAAAGTTTGCCAACCCCTGACACAAACAATCAAAAATTGATTCAAGGCGGTGCTGAGACCCGGGTTGCGTGCAGTGAGGGGCAGCAGGCGTGGGGCAGGCATGGGGGCCTCATCGGCCTGACACTAATGTCTCGCTTTGTGCCTCCCCCACTCCGTCCTCTTCCCTGGCGTGCCGGGCCCCGCCAACCCTGCAGGACAGCCCCGACTTCCTCTCAGAGGAGGACCGCGGACTTAAAGCAATAAATGTAGATCTTCAAAGTGATGCTGCTCTACAGGTGGACATTTCTGATGCTCTTAGTAAGAGAGAGAAAGTAAAATTCACTGTTCACACACAGAGTTCATTGCCAAATTTTAAACAAAATGAGTTTTCTGTTGTTCGACAACACAAGGAGCTTATCTGGCTTCATGATTCCTTCATTGAAAGTGAAGACTACGCAGGTTACATTATCCCTCCAAGCACCACCAAGACCCGATTTTGATGCCTCAAGGGAAAAACTACAGAACCTTCGAGAAGGGTCTATGACAAAGGAAGAATTCACAAAGATGAAACAGGAGCTGGAAGCTGAGTATATTTGGCAATATTCAAGAAGACCGGGGTGGGAGGGAGGGAGGGAGACGCAAGAGGGAAGAGATATGGGAACATATATATATGTATAACTGATTCACTTTGTTATAAAGCAGACATTGTAAAGCAATTATACCCCAATAGAGATGTTAAAAAAAAAAAAAAAAAAAAAAACCGTTGCAGTGCATGAAGTGTTCCTGTGTTGTGTGGCAGCACACCCCATTTTGAGGAAAGATTTAAATTTCTATGTCTTCCTGGAATATAATCAACATTTGACTGTGCGAGGACAAAATAAAAAAGAGAAACTTGAAGATTTCTTTAAAAATGTGGTTAAATCAGCAGATGAAGTAGTGGTTTCTTGAGTACGGGATGTAGATGGTTTCTTTGAGCATGAACGAACGTTCCTTTTAGAATACCGTAACCGAGTTAGGGACGCGTCTGCTACACCGACGGGATGAGGAGACCCCACAGAAGTGCTGCAGATGATTACAATAGGACTGGTCTTCATCCTATGCCTTAGGGACTCAGGTCTCTACATTTATGTGCAAGTTCTTCTTAAAGGTTCAGAACGGTTTGATAAAACAAGAAAAAGTGTCAGCTGATGAGGACCTCAAACTTTCTGACCTTCTAAAATACTACTTAAGAGAATCTCAAGCTGCTAAGGATCTCCTCTATCTAAGATCTAGGTCACCACTGGATTATGAAAATGGTAATAAAGCACTGGATAAAGCAAGAGTGAAAAATAAAGATGTTCTGTAGGATGAAACGTCCCAACAATTATGCCGTCAGAAATTTGAAAGAATATCTGTATCTGTAAAACAAGAACGTAGAGATTTTAAGACAAGAAGAGTTGCTGCATTCAGAAAAAATTACTGGAACTGGCAGAGTCAGAACTGAAACATGCAAAGGTAGTGTCATATTAAAGATTTAATAATTTAAGTGACATAATTTAGTAATGAGTCAGTTATGAAACCTTATTCTAGTTTTAAAAATAGAGAATCTTAGAAATGAGAAGGATTTTAAAGATCATCTAATTTAAACAATAATATCTATTATAATAGATCTAATGGTCAGCTTTGCAAGACTCTAGTACCTAATATGGAAAAACAGTATCATTTTTTGACTAGTTGTTAAATAAATCTTCCTTAAAAAAAAAAAAACTGACTCAACAAATATGCTTTGAGTGCCTGCTTACTGTTTACCAGACATTGTGCTAAATGCAGGCCTTAAAAATATAAAAAAGTAGAATCCTCTGTCCTGGAGGTCATAATTTTGCGGGGAAAGAGAACAGCTACCAAGCAATGTGGTTGCTGCTATAACAGAACCAGAACCAGAGGAGAGAACATCCACCTGTCAGGTTAGGGGTATATATAGGAGTCAGGAACATGAATGCTTTAAGGAGGTGATATCTAAGCTGAGTCTTGAAGGAAGAATGTGAGTTCCCAGTAGGGCAAAGAAAGGGAAGGCATCAAGACACAGCATGTGCAAAGGCACAGAGGGGAAAGAGGCTGTCATTTGAAAGCATGTAGCGAGGCTGGATGTGTAGGATGTGCATGTCTGGAGAGCAGGACATGTTTGGGAAGTGATGACAGATGCCACTACAAAGATAAGCCAAATCATTAGGACGTTAAATACTACACTGAAGTATTTGGATTTTATTGTGGAGATGGGGAAGTGGTAAAGAATTTTAAGCAGAAACATATAATACTAATTGTGTCCTGAAAACAGCTTAAATAAAATGGAAGTTAGAGTGGAAAAAAGGGAGTCCAGCTTAAGAGGCTATTTTAGAAAAACCCAAACTCATGAGAATTAAATGGAAATAATAATGTAACTAAGAAAGTACAGTGCTTAGTTTATCTATTCTAAAAATCCTAAAAATCTGGTGTAAAATCTGAAAAATCTACCCTTTTGCTTTTGGGATTAATTAATATGTTACTGAATCAGGTTCTACTAGCACAGGTTTAAGAATACACAAATTCAACAATACAAATGAGAAAATAAACTTCTGCTCCCCAATATACTGTTATTTTGAACATGTGACAATACTCCAGTACTCATATTCCAGGCAAAATGTGTTGACTCACCGAACGTGACAATATGCTAATATCCATCCATCGTCCACCAACACCCGCCTTTCAGGCCTGAAATTCATTTTCAAATCCATTCCATAAGCTCCATATACATGTACCAGGAGAGGTTTCTTCTGCAAGTCTTCAGAATCCGTTTTATGGAAAATAGTCATTGGCACTAATTTTCCATCCTGGAAATGAAGATTTACTATGCAGGTAAAGAAGTCTTCTCAAACAGTTTTAACCCCAATTTTATGTGCTGCTTATTGATGTTGAGCACCAACTTCATTTAATTAAGACAAAAGAGTTACGGTCTCTAAAAATCCCTCAGGTCCTAAATTTTCAGCTACTCTGCTGACCTATAATAGTAACTAGAAAGGAACAGCAAGAGTCTGGCTTGAAAACAGTTTATGAAATGTAGCTTTTCAGGACAGTAAAGTGACTTTAAAGAGTTCTTCACTACTCAGTATAACAATTTTTTTTTCTTTCACAACAAGCCAAAATACCTATCATGGTTAGATATACTAGCACGGTATTCTTCCTATACCTCGGGTTACATTTGGGCATTTCTCATCTTTGAATATATACAAATATGCTAATTAAAGAAGTTTTAACAACTCAATTTTCTGTACTCAATAGTCAGAATTCTCAATCATTAAAACCTGAAATCTCTTACTGACCTAACACCCACCCACATCCTCTTCAAAGACCTATTTATTTTTAAAATGTTTAAAAGCAGTTTAAGTTTTATAAATTTTAGCATCTAAATTATTTTTAGGGCAAATAACTATACTCCAGTGTAGTTCGCACTCAACTGACTTCCTTTCATAGAAAAAGGGTAGAAAACGTTGGTTCTCACCCTGCTTACAGAAACTTAATGAAAAAGCACTAGTTTACATAAGGAAAATAATATAACCAGGCCACTCTCCCTATTTTTTTCATTCCCATTTTGAAAACTTCACTTTGGGGCACTAGAGTGTTATCAAATAAGGAAGAACTCTTCCTCTCATTATTATACCCGTTATGACAGTGTAACTGAATTTTCACCGTAACTGAATTTTCACTTCTCAGTAAGATTCATTCTTATAAAATGATGCAGATTTATTTCTATAAAATAATCTTGTTGTGTTCATCTTCCTGCCTCCTACCCAACTTCACTTAAACAAGCAGAGAAAAGCTTGTTGGTTGAAAACTTATGAAAAGGAAGAGGTAAGGATGGTAGCAAGTCCCGTGATGGCCTGAATCCCTGAGTTCATCAGCAGTGCAAAAATGCCTGTAGTTACAGCAGCTTCCCTTTAGCAATTGTTTCCTTCTTCCCTAAGGTACGAAGAATCCCTTGGCTCTCCAAGAGCTTAGCTTCACTGTTCCTTCCATTTGGCGTAAAATTACAACATTTTGGGAGATTGGTATAAATCCCATCTTTGTAAAACAAAACAAAGCCTAAACATATGTATTTTGTTGACAAAACCCCAAAATCTGGAAGGTGATAATGTGTTAACAATGCTTATTTCTATGCAGTACAGCAAACAGGACTGAAAAGTAGTCATTTAAACTTTATACATTCTATATTTTTGTATTTGTTCTAATAAGCGTGTATTGCTTTTATAAAGTAGTCTTTGCTTAAAGATATTTTTTAAAAAAATCAGTGAATTAAAGAAAAAATTCACAAGGAAAAAAGGCTTCTGTTTTGATTCATTCTTTGTCAGTACATGCAAAATTATCTGATGTATGATGTGCTAAGCTCTGAGAATTCCTTAAATTCAAGGCCACGGTTTATGTATTAATTTGTTCCTCACTTGCTCAAATTTTCTTCTCTACTTACTACCTCCCCAACCTCCCACTGCCCCCGGACAATCTTCCCTCTTTTACGCTACACTTTGGCCATACTGTTCTCCTTTATACTTCTTGAATGCATTATTTCTCCCTCAATTCAGGGCCTCTGCACAAAACAGAATCCTCCTTCCCCTTTTCTAGCTTAACTCTTGATCATCTTAGAGGCATTACTTCCTCAGAGAAGCTTTCCCCAATTTCTCCAGACGAGGTAAGGTCCCTTTACCATATGTTTCCACTGTACTCAGTACGTCTTCCTTGGCAGCAATCAGTACATTAGTAATTACTTCTTCAAAATCTAGCATCTTCCCCACTAGATTTAACCTCCATGAGGGCATGGAGTCTATATTAGTCTAGTTCACTCTAGTCAATTGCTTACTACCTTCATAATTTTTGTCATAACTACACAGAAACTTGATTATTTTCTTCTTGAAATCAACTTTTAATATTCAAATATACACAACACATGAAATCAAGGGCTTGCTATGATGGTTATAAATTTTCGAATCCATGTTAAAATAAATGCATGAGTATCAGAAGTTAAAAAAAAAAGTCCATGTACCCCCTAAAATCATTTGGGTCTTGCTGTGGAATGTGAGATCCACTTTACTAAACTGTGCTAATGTAATCCCAGCAATTGCACAATACTTGACAAATAGTATCCTTTCAACAAACAGAGGCTGACAGTGGGGATCACAAAGACTTACCTTGCTTTTGGCTTCTATACGTAAAACACGACTAGTCTTTGTGATTGGGTCTTCATGTCCAGTTTCCTCAAACAGTTTACCTTCTGAAAACTTATACGTGTAATACTTAGGGGGACGTATAGGAGAGCAAAGCTGAAAGGGGCAGTTCTTTGGGTCTGAATTTGTATCCATTATGAATCCACAGGCCCAAGGTGGGAGCTGAAGAAATAAAAGTTATTTTTACTCTTTATCTAGACACTAAGTATTATTAATTAAATTTCTGGGTCTGCTCCAAACAAGATGATGTGGACATCAAATTTATTTTTATCCATTATCACATAATGCCTCATCTAAGGGTTACTTCAGCACAACAAAAAATATTTCAAGTGAAAAACAGAACTCTATGCAAATGACCAATAAGGAAAAAGTACAGGAAAATGGTTTATCATGAATCTAGATTTACATGAAGCCTCCTTCAATAAAAAAGTTTATTTTGGGGGTATATAAACTTGGGCAATGAAACAGCAAAATGATTAAGAATAACAGCAAATCAAGTAGTAATTCCAGAACCCAGAAACATCTCCAAGATCTCTATTCTCATAGAACGTGAAATTTCTCACGTGTTTTTAATAATTTATCCAGCAGCCCTTACTCTGCTGCCTGGACAGCAGCAGTGATGACAGTTATTATTCCAGGGCTACAAACTGGCTCAGCAGCACTAAAGCATTTACAATTTGTTTTTAACTTTAGCTCCCAGGGTAACCATTGTGCAGAAGAAAACCTTTCCCGCACATCCACTCTGAGAGACTCACAGCTATTATGCTTAAGATTCTTAACTTTAAGAAAAAAGGAAAGAAATCAAAATTTATTCTCTCAGAGCAGCAGGGTCCAGCCTCAAGCCTTCCACTAACATCCCTCTTACACCTTTTAAAGAACTCTAGTAAGCAGGCTGACAGTGTGTTAGAAATGGTACTGAGAGTCAGAACATTAAAAGAAAATTGCCTTTCTTTTCCTGAGTAATTGTAGAAAGAGCAAATTCCTTAGAAAATCAGAGGTCTTGGCACAGCAACGTCACTGGTGGGCACTATTTAGAAAGGGTAGGTGGGGGATTTGCAAGGGCAAATTCCTTGCAATTAATCCAAAGAATCCACTGCCCTGAAACACTAGGGACATAAATTTGCATAAATTTGCAATGTCTCTCTAAAAGAGTTCCTAATTTATTCTCCTCAGATTGTGGGTTATTTTCAAGGATAATTTGTTTATTTAAATAGGAGCCATAACTAGAAAGAAAAATGTAATCATGAAAGTTGGGAAATCTGGTAGCAAAAGTGAAACGAGTAAAAATTGAGACCTCAGTGGGAAAAAAAGGAAGAAGCATTGCTATTAACCTTGTAACAGAGGCCTCAGATTGAGGGCACAAGGCTCCTCAGCCCTCAGGGGTACAAGTTTTTCTCCCCTTTGGTGACACTTTAAAACATTTTCCATGTGACTCATGTAGTAAGTTTAGTTTTTCTAGTTTTTTTTAGTAAGCTTAGTTTCTGATTAAATGGTTCCAATAAATCAAAAAGTCTTTTGGGTGTATTTCTTAAACTAATGGGACCAAGGTTAAAGTTTTAATCATAACAAAAACTGTTCCAAGGCTATGGACTTTTTAAAGTTTGTCCAGCTGATATAGAGGTATTAACTATCTCAAGGATATCTTCAGCCACATTTCCTATTGAGATAAGCCTGCAGTATCATCTATGTATATTAATGAACAGGGCCTGAGAAGAATTATAAGCTGGCCAGGTGATATGCAGATATTCCTTGAGATATCTGACAGAAACAGGTTTAGTTTAAGCATTCTACCAGCTAACCACAGTCATTTCATCAAAAGAATGATTAAGACATAAATGCTGAAAGAAAATCGGCCCAAGCATGCAGGCTGATCCAGATGAATTGATGTTAGCACAAAGCAAAACATTTCCTAATTTGCTTTAATTAAATATCATAACCAAATAATATATCATAACTAAAAACATCACCAGGAAATACTGATGACATGATGACCAAGGATATGAGGCAATATATTAAGGGCTTCACATTTTCTATTGCTGAGATTGAGTTTATAAAGCTCTTTTAGTCAAGTGCGCACTGGGCAGAGATGTTACATACAGAAATACTTTATAATCCACTCACAGTATGGCTTACAGATGTCCTTTGTATATAGCACTGTCTGTGCATATTAATCAGTGTTATCCAGTTCATAAAAAGGCTCTGATCTATAAATTCTCTTTAACTAGCACCTGGTATATAATATAGTATTTGATTCCATGTGATGATGACTCAGAACATCATACTCATATCATAATAGGCACTACAGGTTGGGAAAGGTCAAGGAATAAAGAAATAGAGGATACAGAATAAATGAAAGACATGATGTTTGTGTTAATGGAAGTTAAAACAATGGAAACTGAGGCATATCTTAAAAATACAAAAAATATAAAAGGCCATATTTACTTAGAAATCACATCTTAGCAAAGTCTCATGACATTCCTAATTCTGAAAGAATTTTGTTATAATAAATGCATTGCTAGAAATTATATATTTTCTCCCATCCCTATTCCTATAGACTACAATAAGAACAGATGCTCTGCCAGTTTCTGGATTGAAGATGTCTGAATTTGGTATCAATTAGCAAGTGAAAAGACACACTTTTGAATTCAGTAGATGAAAGCAGTAACAAAATTGCTGGAGTTAAAAAATCACCATTTTTGTTTTAGGACATTTATACAGCCTTCTAAGGCACAAGACATTACATTTGATAATTTGATTTCATGAAGTAGATGGAAAATTTTGGTTGTTTTATTTAGGCCCTAGTTATTTCTTATTTATACCACTGTAACAATCTCAAAACTAGCCTCTATGCCCCTTATCTCTTGGTGCTTTGGTGTACTCTAACACGGCTGCCCGATAACCTCATGAAGTACAGCTTGACTCCTTAAATTATTCCCCTGCCCGCACACTTCACATGTTCCCCTCTTCATAATTTACGCATAAATTCACCACCTTGACAGTCAAAGAATGTCAAATCATAGCTTCATCACCTAGAAATTTATTCTGCTTCAATAAAAATGAATTATTAGCAGTTTCCTGAACATTTTCTGAACTTCTCCAGCTTAGAGCTTCATTTGATGGACTTTCTCAGCCTAGAATACCATTCCCTTCCCCACCCATCAAAATCCTATCTATCCTCTTTGGTTTATCTCAAATTCTACTTCTCCTCAAAGTTTTCCTGGGCCCTCTTCCTTTCCTTTGGGCCTCACAGCACATTTTATGTTTCTGATCCCACTTATTTAAACCCATCTTATACTTGATCTTTGTGTACTAGTCTAATCTCATGATAAACTGTATTCTCCTTAAGGCCTGATATTTTGTCCTACTATCTTTCCATTCCAGAGCACCCAATACAGTACTTTGCACACAGAAATTTGATAAACATCCAGTGAATTGACTGGAATTGCATTTTAACAAAAATTGTGATAGTAGTACAGATGGGGAGGTACAAGTGGTCTGTTTGCTGGTCACACAACTCCACAGCAAGCAAAACAGAGGCTCTCTTCTTCCCTTCAGTGCATGCTACCTAAAGTCACATATTAATGCTGCTTTAAAACTGGGCAATAACGTTACTGTTCACCAGTTTTAGCAATAAAATTGGCAAAGAGATGATGAAGATATGAGAATGCAGTGGCAGAAACATAGTAGCAGAAACACAGTGGGTATGACTACTATCCCCACTGGGGGTGTGGGATGGGAACAGGAGGCAGTGGTTAGGCACTAGCTGCCAAGTTGGCCTGAGTTATTACTATATCTAAAGTTGTAGAGATATGTAATATAGAGGTAAGCAGGAAGAGAAATACAACGGCACTTTACCTCTGAAATTCATGCTATAAGACAGTATTTTTAAGTAAAAGTGCCCAAAAGAAGGTCCTCTAAGTAATCCTAAAACAAACCTCCTAAACCTGATAAAAAAGACCCAATATGCTAAATTCCATTTAAATTAATTTCCTTTTAAGAAAAAGTATATTGGTATTATTCAAAATTTGATGTTGTTAATAAACTGCATATATTTTGACTAATGTATTATCTTTTGAAAATTAAACATACCTTTAGAGACCGAACTGAATCGTCAGCCAGACCAATCACATTAACATAAAGTAGATTGCTATGCTTCAGGAATAGAACACAGTGATCCTTAAACATGTCCAGGTCTACAACTTTGGTATTTCTCTTCATTGTGAAAAATAAATCCCAATTCATAATAGCAGGGGTATCAGCTGCTGTTCTCATTAGCTGTGTGGAACAAAATTAGAAGAGATCTAGGTACCAGAACATGATTACTACTGCATCCAGAAATGAAACCACTGAAAACCAGACCATACTCGTCTTCACTGTTTTATGAAGAGCTGAAGGAACTAACTCTGCATCAGGGCTGAAGTGTGAACATCACCGTATGAATGAGCCCAGGCTAGCCTGCTGGGTGGGTATAGCCCAGTGCTTAGCTGACTGGTCAACCAATGGACATTTGAGTGAGAGTACTGACAGCTAGTTGACTGTGGAACTATCAATGAGCCTAGCCAAAACCAGTAAAGGAACTGCCTGAGATCAATCCAAACTGCTCACTCACAAAATCATAAGCTTATCAAAGTTTGTTAAGCCACTAAGTTTGGCTTTGATAACTAATATATTCAGGATAGAGTATGTTTTCATTTACTAACCTTTTTAGGTACAATTAAAATATGAAGAGGTATTAGCTCTAAGGGAAGAGAAAGGGGATTGGTTCTACATAGGAAGATAGCATTAGTTTTTACAATACCCAAAGCTTACAAAACAATAAACTTTTAGAGCAAGAAATGTTGATGTTAGTGTAACACTCCCTAAGAGCCTAAATGGGGACCAGGAGGATACAGGATTTACCTTGAATTCTGTAGGCTCGCCAACATTAGTGAGAATGTATAATTCATCATCTCTGTGTTCTACGTAGTAAAGGACCCCGTGTATTCGCTTCTGGATAAGTACTGGTGGGTCCCAAGGGCTCATGCCATCTATCAACCACACCTCTGAAGTGGTCTTGTTCATAATATTCATGGTGAGAAAACGACTGTCTTTTGTAAGATAAAGGAAAACAAAAAAGCTGCACAGAAGAAAGAGAGAGGGAGAGAGAGATACGAAAACCCAATAAATTTCAAATGCAGGCTATCTTGTTAATGACAATATCTCACTGGTGTTCAGTATATATATTAATTTATAATGCAGATAGAAAATAAAAACTCTTTAGTGAATACTGCTTATAAAAACTGGCTATTATATTTCTCATTTCCTCCCCAAAGGCATTCAAAATAATTTTTCTCTAACATTTTATAAAAAATTTTCAAACATACAGTAAAGATGAAAGAAATGTAAGGTAAATACCGATATACCTACCACTAAGATCCAATCATGGCTAACATTTTGTTATATTGTCTTTATCACATATCTATGTATCTATCAATCCATCTTTTTTTAAAAAATGCATTTCAAGGTAAACTACAGACATCATCTAACTCTCAATCACATTAATAGATTATAGGGCTTTTTTCTGAGAAGAGGAAATAAACTTCCTAGAGGAGATATGTAACTGTAGGGAAGAAAAGGGACACAGAGTTTCCTTTGTTTTTCTTCTCTGTGCAAGTTGGATATCCTTTTTCCTACTCTCCTAGTTTTTACAACAAAACAAACAATAGGAAGAAAAACCCTCACAATCTCACTAACCTAACACATTTTTTAAATTAACTATTTTAATTTTTCGATTTTTCCTTCTAAGGCTTAATTGTATTTTATACATGTCTTTTTTTTTTTTTGTGGTACGCGGGCCTCTCACTGCTGTGGCCTCTCCCATTGCGGAGCACGGGCTCCGGATGCGCAGGCTCAGTGGCCATGGCTCATGGGCCCAGCCGCTCTGCGGCACGTGGGATCCTCCCGGACCGGGGCACGAACCCGTGTCCCCTGCATCGGCAGGCGGACTCCCAACCACTGCGCCACCAGGGAAGTCCTATACGTGTCTTTAAATAGATATAGTTATTTAAAAAATATAGATGCAATTCTGGCTTCTGCATTTAGGTTTTTTTTTTTTTTTTAATTGGCTGCACTGCGCGGCACATGGGATCTCAGTTCTCCAACCAGGGATAGAACCTGCGCCTGCTGCAGTGTAACTGCAGAGTCTTAAGCACTGGACTGCCAGGGAAGTCCCTGCATTTCTTCTTACACATATTATCATCTTCCCCTACATTAGTTATACAGTCTGTGATCGTTATTTTTAATGGCTACCTAATATTCTATCGAGTTGAATTATCATAATTCTTAAAAATGTCGATTTTAATGTTTCATTGTAATAAATATAAAAGGGAATATGTCATGAAGACAGTTTCCCTCTCCCTAACTTAAAAAATAGATTAATTAATTTGGTTGTGCTGGGTCTTCTTAGTTGTGGCCGGTGGGCTCCTTAGTTGCGGCTCACTGGCTCCTTTAGTTGTGGCATGTGTGCTCCCTAGTTGCAGCCAGTGGGTTCCCTAGCTGCAGCAGGCAGGCTCCTCAGCTGAGGCTTGCCGCCTCCTTAGTTGTGGCATGAGAACTCCCATCTGCGGCATGCATGCGGGACCTAGCTCCCCAACCAGGGGACAAACCTGGGCCCCCTGCATTGGGAGTGCAGAGTCTTAACCACTGCACCACCAGGGAAGTCCCTCTTCCCAACTTTTATAGTTATTTCCTTAGGATAAATTCTTAGTAACAGAAATACTGTTTTAATGATTAAGTATTTTTATGACTCTTAATCAATAATAAATACTATCCCAAGAGCATTACACTAATTCATATTGACACACTAGATGCCTTTAAATATTCTACCTACATGTTTCCTTATTACAAAAGTAATTCATACTGAAAATAATAAAGAAGGACGATAACCCTGAATTCCACTCCCCAGAGATAAGCATTTTGGTAAAATTCCTTTTGTACTGGATTACATTACCATGTTTGTCAATTTTATTTCTTTGCAGTGTGTCCATTTTAAACTTGGTGATGTAGTTTACATTATTGGTCTATAACCATCTCTTTATAAATTAAGGACATTAACTTGTCCTTTTGGTTGAAAATACTTTCCCCCATTTTGTCATATGGATTTTTTTTTTACATCTTTATTGGAGTATAATTGCCTTACAATGGTGTGCTAGTTTCTGCTTCATAACAAAGTGAATCAGTCCCACACATATATGTGTCATATGGATTTTGTTTACAATAGTTTCTGACGTAAGAGTCTAATATTTTAGGTAATCAAGAATATTGGTACTACCCCTGGTAATTTCTTCTATTGATTTTATGCTCTGGAAATATTTCAACCAAGCTGAGTGAAATACATATATTTTCACCTAGGGTTTTTTTTTTTTTTGATGGTTTTATTTTTACCAATAGATCCTTTAAATCTTTTAGTAATGTATGCTAATGTACAAAGTGATGAAAATTATTTTCCTCCAAATATTCAATATTCACATTCTAGGGTCTGTTTTAGGGTTATCCTGGTCTCTTTTATTGGTCTGTCAATTTGTATTATTTTAACTGTTGTGCCTTCACATGTTTTAATATATTGTTGTAAGGCAAATCCCCTGCCCTATCTTGCTCTTTATTTTCAACACTTCTTTTGCTACTTTTATCTACTTATTTATGTGTAATGATGACACAGGTAATCAAAAGATAAATTACTCAGTCAATTATCTGGCAGACATGTGGTTACAGGGAAGTGAGAACACAAGCATCTCTGTAAGTAACAGTTTTCTTAGAAAGAGAAGTAAAGTTGTGGTAACTACCAAGCAAAAACCTACAGTAGATACACAAAATATAAAGAGAAGGGAATCAAACTATATAGCACTATGGAAAATCATCAATCCACTAAGGAAGACAGTAGGAAAGGAAGAACTGGGAACTATTGATCCAAAGCAGCTAGAAAACATGAAAAAGATGGCATTAGTAAGTCTTTAGCTGTTATAAATTACTCTAAATGTAAATGAATTAAATTCTCCAATCAAAAGGCAAGAAGTGGCTAAGCAGATAAAAAAAGAACTAACTATATGCTGCCTATAGTAAGAGATTCATTTCAGTTTCATGTACATAGGGTCAAAATAAAGAAAAAGACATTCCACACAAGTAGAAACCAAGAGGGAGCAAGGGTAGCTATACTTGTATCAGACAAAATAGACCTTAACTCAAAAGCTCTAACAAGAGATAAAGAAGGCCACTACATAATGACAAAGGTGTCAATTCGTCAAGAAGATTTATAACAAGCATAAATATATATGCACTCGACATCAGAACCCTCAAATATATTAAGCAAATATTAACAGATCTGAAAGGAAAATAGACAACACAATAATAGTAGGGGACTTTAGTAGCCCACTTTCAACAATGGATAGATCATCCAGGCAGAAAATCAGTAAGGAAACCTTGGACGTGAACTATACTTTAGAACAAATGGATCTAACAGACGTATACAGAACATTCTGTCCAACAGCAAAAAAAATAAAAATACCATTCTTCTCAAGTGGACCTGGAACATTCTCCAGGATAGATTATGTGTTAGGTCACAAAATAAGTCTTAACAGGAAAAAAACTGGAAAATTCACAAATATATGGAAATTAAACAATACACTCCTAAACAACCAAAGGGTCAAAGAAGAAATCAAAATGGAAATAAAAAAAAAAACCTTGAAGTAAATGAAAATGGAAATACCACACACCAAAACCTAACGGATGCAGCAAAATCAGTTCTAACAGAGGCATTTATAGCAATAAACACTTACATCAAGAAAAAAGAAAAATCTCAAACGAACTTCACACCTCAAGAAACTAGAAAAAGAAGTAATTTTGGCTAACCTTACTTGTGAGAGCGAATACTGAAACCTGGGGATCAAAGCAAACACAGTAAAAAAAACAGCTCAGTCTTAGAAGTTCTACGAAGACCTTTATTACATTTTCTCTACTGGTATGCTGCTTTTCCCTCTTGGTCCTTCCCTTTGGATTAGGGCTGTTAAGTACAGTTGACCCTTGAACAACATGGATTTGAACTGGTGGGGTCCACTTATACACAGATTTTTCTCAATAAATACATATCACACCACCACACCATCTGCGGTTGGTTGAATACTCTGATATGGAACAGTGGTTAAAGAGAATACTCTGATATGAAACAGTGGCTAAACAGTGAATACTCTGATATGGAACAGTGGATAAAGATATGGAACAGTGGATAAAGAGGGTCAACCGTAAAGTTATAGGTGGATTTTCAACCACACGGGAGTCAGTGCTCCTAACCCCCAGTTGTTCAAGGGTCAACTGTATTCAGAATCGACAAACTAATCTGTGCTTTAGAGATCAGGTGCCAAACTAGGTTTAAACATACTTAATTATGGTTAATTCTTTTTGGGGTAGAAAAAGCTTACTAGAAGCCAAAAATCAAGAATCTTAAATGTATGTATAACTCAATCTTAGAACTTAGGATAGTAACAACATATGGCAATTAAGTACCTTATTCAAGGGTATGACTCACAGGGTCAATTTTGAGTTTTATTCATGAGATGTGAAATGGTTCACAATCATAAGTCATTGATACAATGTAATAAATTACTAGCTTAAACTGTCATCTCCAAAAGATATCCTTGACAAATGACACATAAAATAGTGGATCGTATGAATAGCTGGTTCTAATAAATTCTCATTAAAACAATCATCATCAGAAAAAAGCAATGACAGCATTACTGAACCCAGAATGTTAGTTCTATGGGTTGGAATAATACAATTTCTCCAGACCTCAAGTTCTTTATATAAACTGGGTGTTGTATAAGATTTTCTTTAAGGTCCTTGTCAGCTCTGAGATTTTATTAAGTGAAGGGTTACTTTTCTTGCTTTGGGTATCAATTTTACTGTCATAGATTTGGTGTTAAAGATAATTTTTCTCTCTTGCAAAATCTGTTCAGACATTGTCCAAATTATACTGTAAGAGGTGACAGGACCCTGGTGTTAAGAAATAATTTATCATAAATCATTTGGAAAAGTGTATCTGGGTAAGAGTTAAGGGATTTTGCCAGATAAATTTATTATCATTTCCTCCCAAGCATGGTTAAGTGGTAATATGAGGCATAAGTCCTGAAGCAAAAAGAATTACCTTTAAAGAGGAATTACCAAAGTATTGGGGAAAGTAAAATTTAAAGACCAATGTATATAATGGTTCAAAGCAAGCAATTTAAAATTCAGGTAACCTATATGAAATAAATGGTGAATTCTGTGTAACTGGCACCATGGTTATTCTAGTTACGACTTACAAGAGATTCATAATTGCTGCATGGAAACCATATTAAATGTTTAATTAACAACTCCTCTCATGTGTCAATACAGAGAGAATGTTAGTGACTCAGCATCTGAATCTAATGATATATTTGTGTTCACTCTGAAGTTTGAATGTAACTAATTTCCAATTTTGAATCTAAACCACTTATAAAAGAATGCTTATGCTCCTCTTAGCCTTATTATATCTGATTCCAGCCAAAATCAGTGTTTTAAGTCAACCAAGAGCAGCACTTTAGATAACTAGAGAAATATTCTGAAGAAAAAGACTTAATTGCATTGTTTTAGTACCTTGGGTCTTTTTCTGTGTAAAAACGTTCATTACGCCTGTTATCACCAAAAGTGGCTCGATATACATCATGACAGCGAAGGTTCCTCTGGAAGGTGTAGAATAAAACATCTTCATCTTCTTCATCCTTTACCCATTCTAAAAGAAAATAATTAAAGAATTATATATATCCACCTATTTACAGTTTAAAAAAAAAAAAAAGGCACAGTGCATTCTAATTTTGAGTGCCAAACAGAAGAGATGTGCAAGTTTATCCCTGGAAATCTAAATCTAACATAGGTTTGACTATGTCTAACCCTGTTATTTATAAGCCAGAGATATTTCCAGAGAATAAGATCCTACTACATCAATTCTAAGTTTTCAAGTAGTTGTTAGTCTCAGGATACTCAAGTTTCTAAATAAGAGATGAATATTCAATATTTAAGAAAGACTTTGGTAAAGTCACATTTGCTTTCAGGAGATGAATTATGTTTAGATCTACAACCTCTAAATCTGAGGAAATTTTGGACCATTTTCTCTCATGCCTAAATGTTTTCTGCCTGTTTTCAAGCCACAGGATATCTCAAACTACCAAATATGGTGTTTTCTAGATCTTACCAGAGGCTGTCAATGAAAGTTTTCACACAATTACATCATGACTGCCACCTGGCTGACAGTGACTGTAAGACATTATTGTATAGTATGTATTCTGATTTTAGAGAGGTTAAAATGTACAAGAGGTATGCCTTAGAATCAATTAGATACGGTATAATTTCTATTCACTGCAAAAGCATTTAGTTATTAAACAATGGGGACATTTATGGCAGAAAATAAAAAGGGAGGATAAAGTATAAACATATATATCACTCAGTGATAAATGATAAAATTTAAAGTTGGTTCTATTGGTAAAAATATCATAGCTTTTATTGAATAAGTTAGTTCATCGTGTTCCAGAGTTCCTTGGTAGTGACCCTGGCAATGTGCTATAATGGCTTAACAAGATGATGTAAAATGAAAAAATCATACCCAAGCTTAAAGTTGAATAAAATATTAAGAGACAATTTATGTGAAAATGTACTCTAAATAATAGCAAAGAATTACTGATATATTAACATATACTGTACAACCTGGACTCCGATTACAATACTTTTAAAAATATGAACATGAATCTGGATATTTAACTAAAGAAGGGAAGGTCTCCTGAATAAGAGGCAGAGAGGAAGGTATAGAGTCCACAGGGATAAACAGATTAGGCATTCATCCTCTCATTCACTCACGTGAGCAAGTAAAAATGTTTGCAAAGTGTGGACAATCCTCTTTACTGTTGCCTTTTCAATGTAGAAGACTGTTTTGGTTGGTGGCTTACCAAAACTGGACACATTTGGGAAAGAAGCTTCCATTACAGGTTGATCACTGAGCTTCACAACTACACACGTAGATGCTTCAGAATCTTCAGTTCTTATCTTGGCAGCTACATATTTTTCATCAGGAGCAACTCTGATACAATCAATGAAGGGTTGCTCTAATTTAAGTTCCTCCAAATTGAACAAAACTTCATAATTATCATTGTCTGCTGCATAAAGAAAAGGATAAAGGAGATAATTCCACAAAATATACTTCAAAAAATTTTAAACGGTATTTCAATGTTTTAAACTAGCATTCCGCTTCTGTAACAGGCTACGTTTTGGCATCTTTGAACACTGACAGCAGTTTGATGTGTACAGAAAATGGCATTAGTATTTAATACTACCCTACGCTATTCAATATTATTCAATGCATCAACCTATGTGATCTTACTTGAGAGTTATAGTCTAACATTTGTAGACCATATAGAACCTAGAAAAGTAAGAAAACGTTAAGTGACCCTGAATAGTCTATATAGTGCCTAGCACAGTATCCAGGATTTGGTAGATGCTCAAAAAATGCTGGTTCCCACCTCCATTCTCTCTGCCAAAGCTTTTTAATGTAGCTGTTAATTATATCTTAGGCAAACCCAGAAATTAAAAAACTACTTATTTAAAAAAAGAGAAAAAAATCAGAAATTGAAAACAGATATTTTCTATACCTTTGAAAAATCAATACCAAATTTCCAATGAAAAATGTGAAACCTGAAAAATCAGATATTTCTTAAAAGGAAAAACTGTTTTTGTACCTTCTTCATCTTTGGAACGAACCAAACAGCAGCCCTCTTGATAATAAACAAAACCACCATGTTTAATCTGACAATGAAAAGAAACAAATGGTTTATTTAATTACAATTTATTCAATTTAAAAACAATTTAAGTAATTGTTTAGTGATCTGACTAGTCAAGATGAAGAAATGAGATCTTTTATAAGCAAACGTGTTACAGTCTATGAATGAACATATAAAAAATACAAAATGAATCACTTTTTACAATATAGTGATTAAGATATGGTTTTCATATGTTTACAATCAATCACTGGAGGAGTTTTAATACATAAATGTAAGAGGCAACAAAGAGAAGGCATTAACGAAACCTACGTCAGTTATGACTGTACAAACCACTTTAGCTTTACTTCTGGAACATTTGACAATTAACAGAGATCAAGTGGCATCTTTAAGATAATCCAAAATGATGCAGATGTGGAAACTGTGACTTAGACTAGTCTGAAAACCCAGTCAATTACTTTCTGAGAGTCTTTCCTTTAAAATATGCTGTCACTGCCAATTGTCCACGGTTTGATCTGATTTTACACAAAGCATCTCACCCTCTGTGAGGGTGACAGATAGAGACAATTTAAGATTGAAAGACTATTACCAATATATGAATCATGCTCTTGTCTAATTCCTACATATTAAATGCAACTGACTGATATGATTTCAGGTAGCTTAAGACAATTACTACTTGCTAGTTAGTGGCATAATTTGAATCTGGAATTCCTCATCCTTAACCTATTGCTATTTCCATTCTAGTACGTATGTAATTTTCATTCATAAGCTGTGGTTCTGTTTTCCAATCTTACCGAAAAATTTTCAACATGCATGTTCAATCTGTTTCAACTGAATATTTATGACTGTGGTAACCACAAAACAGTCAAGCAAATACTTGGATTTCATGGTATTGTACTATTTAAAGTGAATTTTCTTTTATTAAAAAAAGTACAGATAGAACAATCAAATAATTTTCAAGTAATAAAACATTATGAGTTAGTTTCATTTGAACTTCTCCTTGGGAGTATTTAAAAAATTTAAAAACAGAATTGGTTTTTTCCAAAAACCAGAATTAACATTATATGCTTGGAAATTCATCTTGGCTTTGATCTTTATAATTTATTTAAAGGACCATACTCAGCTTACTCTTTGTTAAGTTTTTCAGCATATTTTAAAGGCCAAAAGCAGTCTAATTTTGATGTGGGATTATGTTTATAAATCACAAGGTATTTTATTTGTATCCTGACTGGTAATATCAGATTTAAAAAAAAAGATATGATATCCTACCTCTGCATTGATGATTTCGTATTCTTCTTGTGGCTGTGTTTCTAATTTTGTTCTCACTTTTTCAAATGCATCCATGTTTTCTGAGAGGGATTTTTTGTTTTCTTGTTTAATAGGCAAAAATTCCTGGAAAAAGTTTTATCAGTATGATCATAATATTTCAACTAGGGAGAAAACCTTTGCTTTTTAAAGGTAATTCTTATTTCCTTTTCATTCAAGTACTACAACGTTAGGTCTATACCTATGAAATAATATGCATTTCACAGATCTTAAATGTTTCATAAGCTCAATAAATTATTTCCTCTTTTTCATTTAAAAATGTAAACAAGTAAGGTGGATACTTGATGACTATACTATTAATTCAAATGGCTAAGTCCTTAAGATGCAGTAGTACTAAGAAGCGCTGGAAAGTCTTCAGAAATATTATGAGAAAGCAGTAAAGGAAATCCTATGAACATTTACATATTTAATAGCCAGGTGTGAGAAGTAAAAGTCTACTGAGTTTTATAAAGTACTGAAATACCTCCTAAAAAGGGGAAAATGTCAAAGGGAGAGGAAGACATTACCATTATTAATAAATGTTCACTATTATTTTATTCACAGCAAGAGTTATGATAAAAAGTTTTTCGTACTTTATATCTTCATTAGCCATAATTTTTCTTCTCATGGAGATAAGGAATCCTCCGCATATAACTGTTTATTAGCTCAAAAGGCAAATTAATGCTTTATAAAACAGAGCTTCTCTTTGAGGTTAAAAAATATATATATACTCATCTTCAAAAAGGAAAAATAATGGAAAATTAACAAGTAGAGATATAGGTGAAAGCTAAAATAAAGCACTCAGTGTCTTATTAGGAGTATCTAATAAGCTAACAGCTTAAGTAAGTTGATCTCTGGTGAGCATATAAATATCATATGAATTATTAAAATTTAGATAAGGCAAAACCTTAGTTGTCAAATTAAAAAAAGGGTTGAGGGGCTTCCCTGGTGGCACAGTGGTTGAGAGTCCACCTGCCAATGCAGGGGACACGGGTTCGTGCCCCGGTCCGGGAAGATCCCACATGCCGCGGAGTGCTAGGCTCGTGAGCCATGGCTGCTGAGCCTGCGCGTCCGGAGCCTGTGCTCCGCAACGGGAGAGGCCACAACAGTGAGAGGCCCGCGTACCGCAAAAAGAAGAAAAATAAATAAATAAAGGGTTGAATAATTCAACACTCCACAGGTTTCCCTTGCTTAAGGAAAATAATTCTAGCCAAGATTTTAAATGTCAGCTTTCTGCCAAAGATGACAACTGTAGTGACTTGTGCCAGAAACAGCACTAAGCCTTTGGTTAGGACCTGCAACAGCTGGTAAATATTTATTGCACAAGGGTATCCATGATACTTTACCAACAGTGTAGAGAATGTAAGCTATAAATACAGTTTATATCACAAGGAGTTTACACAGTCTAAAATTAAACACAAGAATAAAACAGAAAAATCACCAGAGCAAATTAAATGAAAAAATAATCATTCACAAAGTTTTTTAGAGTTTTTGAGATGCTTTATGATTTGGACTAGATTCACATTACCAACAATGGCTATTACAGTAGTCTAAATCATTCAGTCTCTACTTCAATTGAAGTCTCTACTTCAATAATAAAATTAATATGATTAATGATTTGAAATTCAAATTCTAAAGGCTCATTTTTTTTTTTTTTTAGTATTTCTACAAAATCTAGTGTTAACCTTTAGTGAGGCAAAATATCTATACCAATAATTTCCTATTATCAACCAAGGCACAAATCAGAAGATCGCTAGAAATCTATCTTGAAACTATAACTTAGTGGTAGAAGCTACCTTTTCATATCCAGATATATGCTTATCTGTTCCGTTAATTCCTATTAGAACTTTTGAAGTACAGTCAGGATGGCTATGAAGAGAGTATCTCTTTCTACTACCTTGCAGCTCCTAGCACATTGTAGGTGAGGAGCTGGGCTCTGTGATACATGGGCCTCTCACCGTTGTGGCCTCTCCCGTTGCGGAGCACAGGCTCCAGACACGCAGGCTCAGCGGCCATGGCTCATGGGCCTAGCCGCTCCGCGGCATATGGGATCTTCCCGGACCAGGGCACGAACCCGTGTCCCCTGCATTGGCAGGCGGACTCTCAACCACTGCGCCACCCGGGAAGCCCGGCTCTGCCACTTTTAAACACCCATTCTTATTGAGAGCCATGGCCAATGCCAGGCTAAGGCAACAGGGCTGGGCCCAATATCTATCCTCCTAAGCTTATTTTACACTTTTGATTAACCTTTTTCTGTGTCACAAATCCAAATAAACTGAGCTTACGTGAACCAAAATAACCCTGAAAGCAATAGGATTTTTAACTGCCTTAATAAAATGGAAGTAGAATTCGAGAGTTTTGTAAGTAATTCCTCAAAAGGAATTACTTCCAGGGAAACTGAGATTTTATATAATAATCATAAAGTACTCCAAATTGGTTTTGGTTTAAGTTCTGTCACCAAGAATACCCACTGGGTGTTTTAAGCTTTCATTTCAATGCCAGCTAGCATTACCATCAGGGTATGCAGCTAAACCTATCCATTTTAGCCAAGTATCTTAATGCAGGGGTTCCCAACCTCTGGGCTGCGAACTGGTACCTGTCTGTGGCCTGCTAGGAAGTGGGCCATACAGCCGGAGGTGAGCGACAGGCGAGCGAGCAAAGCTTCATCTGCTGCTCCCCATCGCTCGCATTAGCACCTGAACCATCCCCCCCATCCCCCGTCCACGCAAAAATTGTCTTCCACAAAACTGGTCCCTGGTGCCAAAAAGATTGGGGAACACTGTCTTAATACATGAATAGTCTATTGGTTTTAAGGGAATATACTACCTAAAGGAGCTGAGGTGAGGAGAGCTTTAAATTTTAAGAAAGTTACATGTACAGTATCACTCAATTAGTGGAAAAAAGAAGCATTCCTTCCCACCTTCTGGGTGGCCCACCACAAAACCATTTTACAACAGAAACTCATAAGACAAGAGAATGGAATATGTAAACTTCACATTTTATTAATTTATTTTTTGGCTACACTACGTGGCATGCAGGATTTTAGTTCCCCAACCAGGGATCAAACCTGTGCCCCCTACAGTGGAGGCGCGGAGTCAACCACTGGACTGCCAGGAAAGTCTCTGTAAACTTTATTACAGCAAATAATAATGAACTCTAAAAACAGAAAATAGCACAATAGAAGAACAGTGGGCAGCTTTTAGTCAAGATGGTGCTATTAATTAAAGGCTCATTCCAAGTCTGGGGCAGAGAGAGTAAAACGTAGGCTTAGGTCATTTTGTGTCAGAAAGCAAGAAGTGTTCAAAGGTTCATGGAGATGTGTCAAAAGAACACAAAGGCCAGTTTAAAGGGGTTCCTACTAGCCACATTTGGGACAGTTTGAGCATCAAAAACAGTAATGACTATAATTGATTATAATAAACTGAAAAAAATAAAAACAACAATTTAAAAAGAAGCAAAAAACAAAACACACACCTAACTAAAATAAAAAGAGGGTACAAAAAAAGGGGGAAACTCTTCTTAACAGAATACTACCACCTAATAAATGCAGAAAGAATAACAGAAATAGAAAATCATCAGCAACCCCCAGTGAAACAAATGATTAGGGTAAAGATCATCCTTGGTTATTAAACTCATTAGATGAAATGATGTCAGGTAATAAAATATTTGCACGAAGTATTACCTTAAGTCTACTTAGTAACTGCAAAGGGAATAATGGCCTGTTAACAATGGAGAGAACTAGCAGTTATCACCTTAACTGAAATTGTCAAGCTTAGCACCATTAATAATGGGACAAGCTGAGATTACGTGTCTTCCTGAAATAATGTTAGTATGAAACATTTCAATTTAAGACAGAAAAAGAGAAGAGTAAACCTAAAGGAACTAGAAGAAAGGAAATAAAATTAATTTGTTTCAATTAAGTTGATACAGTAACTAACGAGAAGACCAACAAAATAAAAAAGTTGGTTCTTTTAAAAAATGTACTAAGGGGCTTCCCTGGTGGCGCAGTGGTTGAAGAGTCCGCCTGCTGATGCAGGGGACGTGGGTTCGTGCCCCGGACCGGGAGGATCCCACATGCCGCGGAGCAGCTGGGCCTGTGAGCCATGGCTGCTGAGCCTGTGCGTCCGGAGCCTGTGCTCCGCAACAGGAGAGGCCACAACAGTGAGAGGCCCGTGTATCGCAAAAAAAAAAAAAAAAAAAAGTACTAAGAAAGACATGTATAGCAAAACTGATTAAAAAAAATGATAAACCATTACGAGTGAAAAAAATGGCATAATTACAGATATAGTAAAGATTATTAAAACTTAAAATAACATTCTTTATGCTAATATATTTGAAAACATGATAGAATGGATAATACTGCAGAAAATAAATTACCAAAACCAACTAAAAAAAAAGAAAAGCTGTATAAGCTAATAAATATCAAAGAAATTGATAACTAAGTGTTCCCTTCTTAAGAGACACAAAACCCAGATACTTTCAAAGGTAGCTTTCTCTAATCCTCAAGGAAAAGATAATCTCATATGTCAACTATTTAAGAAAAAAAATGCCAACTATTTAAAACTACTCAACTTATTTTATCACGCTAATATAACCCGGACACTAAAACTAGACAGTGACAACATTAGACAATTAAAAACCAATCTTACTGTAAAATATGGATTGAAAAAACTCTAAAATTCATAAATCAATGTATTTTTAAAAAGCACAAAATAAAAACAATAATAGTAAAATAAAATCCTATGTGACCAAGTAGGATTTACCTTAAGAATGAAAGGATGGTTCAATGTTAGAAAAATCCATCAATCACAAATAAAGGAAATAAATCTTAGGCCCATTTCCATTAATGCAGAAAAAAACAGAAAATAATGCACTTAAAAAATGATAAAAACCTTAAATTAGGGCGAAAGGAACTTCCTTGACTTAATAAATGATCTCTCTTTTTTTACACAAAACCATACTAATCATCTGTGAAACTCTTTTCAAGGCTCTTAATTATATTCATTTAGAATATCTAGTTATATTTGCTGCTTATTTTCTTATTCAAAAAGTGACTGTTAAATGAAGGAAACTAATTGTTTCCAATG